GAGATTCATTAGAATTCATATCTGCATTGTGCTTTTCAACAAAGTCTAGATTTTACCTCTTCACTGATCTGAGAACATAATTTAAGAGCTAAGCTTTGGATGTCCCACAGAATTTGGTCTGTGCAAGTATGAAATATTCCTGTTTTATTAGAGTTTTTGACAATTCAAAAAGACCAAGCTATTTTAAATTAAGTTCCCAGATAATAGGATTTGGACAACAGCCATAAGAGACGTGCATGGGATGTGAATTCAAGATATTTTTTAAGATCTCAAAGAGCTTACACAACTAAGGATGGAACTGAGAAGCTATGAACTGGTCCACTTGTAAGTGAAGCAGTGCTTCCTTTTCACATACCCTACTGTGTGCTGCCTGCTCGTACCTCAAAGGTGGCAGCTCTGGTATTTCATGCTTACATCTCCACTCCCCAGACTCCTCTCCAAGAACATCCCCATATCCATCCACTTATAAGGAATGGAGCTCAGCTCTCCTCTCTCCCCAGGGAATGAGGAATTTAATACCATGGAAAGAATGGCGCATTCAGACACAAACACATCTTTGTCCGAATTCTGATTTTGCCACTTACTCTCATGTGGTCCTGAGTGTGTTTCTTAACCTCTCTGAGCTTCAGTTCATAACACTTGAAGCGGGGTCCGATATTTGTTTGATAGGATTGTTGGAGTATTGAACCAAATTCTGAAGGCAGTGTCTGAAACCTAGAAGATATTCAATACGTTCTACTTACGACTATTTCGAGGTGTGACTAATCAGGCTGCTAGGAATTCTCTGATAGAGGTACTTCAGTTTCTGGGTCATGCAGAAACATTCTTGAAAAGAGGAAACAATAATCTTAAGCTGTGATATTCATTCCTCATCAATTCTTTAGGGAGAGTTAAAAAGAAAAAGGAAAAGAAATAAGTCACAGTAGTTGTTGGCAAGGTCTTATACCTCTGCATTCCCAGGAAACAGACATGGTACTTTTTCTTATAGGACCAACACCCTCTTAAAAAAAATTCCTCAAAGAATATATTCTGAGCTGACCTTTATCACAGCACTTACAATATCTGATTCCTATTTGTCTCCTCAGAAATGTGTAAATGCCTTGAGGACAATCCTGTCCATCTCTCTGTCACCAGTGCCTAGCTCAGTGCATAGAACACAAAAACCATTTAGTTAAAGCGAGGCTGTACTTAATATGAGGATGAATCCATTCTACTCGACCATCTTCTGAAAATGAATACGGCAGGTACATTAAACATTTAGTATAAATTATAATCTCTAGAAAAAAAGCTTTTGATAACTTATGTTAGGCTCCCTACCACCCTATTAACAATTTCTTGAACTTCACTTAGTGACAGCTATGCCATCTTGAATACTGGGGATTTTTTTCTTTTCTTTTCTTTTAGTTTTTATTCAAAGCAACTGGCTTTCCATCTTTCACCATGACACCTTTAAGACCTACAAGTCAGGGAAGCAGACAGAGGCAATGTAGACCCTCAAGAGAGCCTGGGCTTTGAACATCGGGGCTCAGATTGGTTTCTACTTCATACCAGCCATGTGGCCAGGAGCAAGTTGCAAAACCTAACTATACCTCCATGTCTCATAATACCTATGTGATAGGGTTGTCATGAAGAATTATTGCTAGTAGGAAAATATCAAACACATAAGAGGTATTTAATGCTAGGTCCCCTCCCTCCAGTCTTCAGTGTTTATTGAGTATCTACTTTGGGATGGCATTTAGTGAGCTCCCCCCTTGCTCCTTCTGTCAGTCATTAAGTCAATCAACATTTAATACACACCACTGGTCGATATCTTACCCCAGTTCCAAATATCATTTTGAGAATTGGACTGTTTTCTACTCAAGGGAACAAGCATGCAGAAGTACCTTCTGTACTTAGAATCACAATCATTCTAACTACTTTCTGCCTAACCTGACTGTTTCTTTGTTCCCACCATGCTTCTAAGTGAACCACTTTGGTATTTCTGCAAGGCTTCATCTCCATTCTGTGCTTGAGTTTCTCAGATTGCTCTTCTTCCATGATCCTTTGAAGACAGCAGAAAAAAAAAAAGATGCACTGAGGTCTCTCGACTTTGTACGCTTGCCATGCAACTATGTGGATTGGTTAGTTAATAGAACAGATTAAAACACTTTGTTTGACTCCGCTTAAGCGTACCAGAAATACATTCAAATCTACAGCTACAAAATGTAAAGAAGGTAGTCCAAATATAGTACTACATAATGAGGCTCCCTGTTGGTAGTATATAAAGCAGTTTAGAGTATAGCTTCAAATTCTAATGAAGATCATTTTAAATTTTGCACTGAATTGTGAATTTAAAATTCCCATGTTCTCCATAAGTATCTGAAGAGGGGCATGTAAATACCATAAGTGAATTAATTACTGCCTTAAGTTGGTGAAGCATGTGTGAATCCAAGCTTTATTCTTGAACTTGCACTTCTCTTCCCAAGGTTTTTTGAACCATTTCCTACATGCCGAGTTCTGAGCACCTATTCAACTGCTGAGGACGTATAAAAAAGGTGTTTTCCTTCACGTGGATTAAAGGTTTCAATCTCAGAAAATCACCACCACTGCCACAAAAAGTTCATCCAGGACCACATCCATGTATAACACGAAATTCGTAAAGCAGAAAAGAGATGTTTAGGATCGAAAACCTAGAAAAACATGAACAGCTTCTATCTTAGCTTCTGCCCCTCCTTTTGATATTAACAGTGATCAGTTTCTCTGAGGGGAAATGGAGGTCTACATGGCAAGAGTAGCTTTCACTCTTGCTTCTGTTTTGTTGATGGAATGTGGGACCACAGACGTTATTGGGCAACTTTTCGGAGCTGACTCTTTTGAAGTCAACCCCAGGAGGAGGGCAAATGGGGCTGCTGTGAGCCTGCGGATGGCGCCCACATGGTGCCCACCCCAGTTCCTCCAGAGACGCCAGCATTTCCACGGAAGGGCCAAAGGCCCTGCCAATATCCGCACATCATTGGCATGATAGACCATAACAGCTTCTTCTGAGCCGTTCCGGTCTGTCGTGTCAATGCGTACTCGGGGAGTCCTCAATGCACGGATCATTGACACGGCACTACATAACGGCTCCTTAGCAGCCATTATTGGGTATCAAGTCAATGCATACTCAGGGAGCCTTTAACGCACAGGCCTGCACAAGCAGACACATTCCGAATACTAAAATTCCTTAGGAAAATTAGTCATGGCCCCTGTGTGATCGCTGTTTTCCATTTTGAAGTTTAACCATTTTGGGGAAAGGGTGAGAAAGGAAAATACCAGAGTCATCTGAAAAGTCCTTAAAAGACTGGGGCAAAAGTTCTCAGGATGGGCTGGGCCCACGAAGACCATGAGCTTCTAATTTTTTCCTTTCCATCACCTCATTTTATTGTGTCAAAGTTCTAGAAAGCATTTCACTTTCACCGAGGCTCTTTTTCAGGCCAGAACACCTTTTTTTTAATGGTTCAGATATAAATCCCCAAAAATGTACTGGAAATGATGACAGGCTGTCTAACTGTAAAGTAACAGTGGTAGGCATTATAATAATCTTACAGAGCTACACACATCAAAAATATCACGTCATATGATGATCTCTGCAAGATATTTCACTTGGTTGTCATTCCAGACTTCTAATAAATAGCACGTTGAGCAGGAAAGATTCTGCAAAGATCAAAATAAAATGATGATGATGATGATAGTGATAACAATAATAAAATATAGCCACCATTTTTTACAGCCTCACCACGTGGCAGGCACTTTGTATACATTATCTCATTTAACTTTCTCAACAGACATTACACATCAGGAAACCGTGGCAAGGTTAAATAACTTGACTGATGTCACACAAAGTGCTTAGTGACACTGGTGGGATTTGGACTGGGTCTGGTGAGAGCCACGTGCTCACAATTCTATTGCTTCTAACGACGAACACCTTCAGGGAACTTAGGTTTTTATCTAGAATAGCCAACCTCTTGTGTGCTTACTGATCAGGAAACTGAGGCAGGGTGGTTTAGTAATTCCCCCAAATAATAAAGAGAGTCACAGTCAGTACCAGAACGCAACAGGGGTGCCAGCGCCCTTTCGCTGCGACCACGTGTTAACCACAGGCAAGACTTGGGAATTTCAGAGGCTCTGTTTCTGTTGTAGAAGGGACGTCCACTGTCGCCATCACTCCTGAAGAGATTTCCCCGCGCCAAGTCAGAGCGGTGCGAGTTTGCTCTTGTTGGTGTTTTTCCCTTTTGTGTTCTGCTTGCTGACTGACATCTGCTATCATGCTAAGCAGGTGTTCCTGTGTAAACGAACGTGCCCTGTTTGTGTTTCGCCATCCTCGCTGCTGCGCACCCAAATGAGCAGCGTGATTAAGAATCCTGTAAATTTTTGAAAGGAAACGGATGGCTACCCTACTAGAACATAATTACACCGTTCCAACATCCGCAGCTCACTGCTGCAGCAGAGTTGGAGAACAGCAGAAATTAATAATATATAATAGCATCCTTCTCGTAATTTATAAATGAAATAAAGTCGAGAGGAGATTCTGCTGATACGCATTTTCTCCTTAATTCTAAAAGACAAAGTATAGATTAGGACTTTAGTGGGGTGAAACCTGGCCAGCAGTCTCCCACTAGTTGCCTGATTCATGATACCAGTGTTTTTGCTTGGGGAAAAGAGCTAATATCTTTTATTAGGCCAGGGGGGAAAAATGAATAAGCAAGACCCTCTAAAGGCAATACCAGATAAAGGTGGCCTGAGAAACATCTCCGAAAATTGTGTGCCCACTGGATTTTTTTAAAAAGGTATTATTACTTTAAGATTTCAATGTGTGCTATGTTTTTTTCTTCCATTATAATAACAGACCACCATGGGTCAACCCCTGTGAGAAAAGAGAGACCTGATCAGTTAAAGATGTGGTCCAACATAAACTCTATGTTAGAAAGCATTTGTGTAAGTCCAACAGTGCACACATAGTGAATAATCCTGCACTGTACAACAAGAGCATCGTTAATAGGGTAGATGACATGTTATGTGTTTCTTACCACAAAAAAAGGGCCTTTATATCTTTGAAGGAAACATTATTTTGAGCACCCTGAATGTGCCACTGAGCCTCTTATTACAAATCATCATCAGAGTAAGGGAGTTGATTCTTTTAATCACGCCTTTCAACCATGCTGGAGAGATAATAGAACTTTCCGAAGAGGCAAATAAATTATATGTTAAAAGTAGCCGGTCCATTTCTCTGTGACACAGGACTGTGGGAGGCAGTTAGAAATTTCAAATATTTTTCTGTCTTTACTTGCGGTAGATAGATTGCTGGAGAAATGGACACTGTCAGTTGTTTCAAAGATTTGTCCCCCATGAACCTAATGCCCAAGACAGACAGACAGACACATACACACACACACACAAATGAGCAACTAGCCTTAAGAAAATAGATTTATATGATTTAAATAGTGTTATTTAAGCAATTATTCGTGCTTAATTCCAAAAATGACAGTAAGTCCAAAAAACAAGTCAACATGGATTTTCTTGCTTTAATTAACCTTAGAGAACATGGAAGTGCTGTATTTGCCTTTCAAAAGAAGCATGTCCATGTAAGATGCTTATTCATTTAAGCAGTATTCATTTAAAGGTTCCCTTGAGTATTACTCTATGTGTTTTGATTTGGTCTAGAGAAAATAAATTCGTTTACTAGATTTATTTCATTAACAGGTATTTATTTAAGTGGGTTCCACTGTATTTAAATCTCCAAACAGTTTCCATTACTTCCTTGCTTACTTGCTTCATGTTGACTCATTTTAATAAGCCTCAGGTGCCTAGGGTCTTATTGAGTGTTCAGTTTGATCAATATGGTTAAATTAAAATTGTGCAAAATATAAGCAAATGTACTCTAACAACACAGTGAAAAATGTGCTGTGTGCCAAGCATCGATTGGTGCTGGGGACAGGGATGTGTTGTCGGGGCCGGGGAGGGGTCTCTAAACTACCTGGAAACGCAACCTTGGCTCCCTCTACACACACCCCTACAGTCAAACAGGGTGCAGACGTGCCCACTGAAGTACAAGAGGAAGAGATGTGTGTCAGGTGTTTTGCTTTTTGATTTAATGGAAAGTAGAATGTAAGACTCACAATGAAGTCCTCTATAAAGAGAGAAAAGCTAAGATCATGTGAAAGTCAAGCTCAGATTATCGCTGAACTACTTTAAGCAATGTCAGTGTGGAAACGAGGAGCCCAGCTCTCTTTCGCACAGTAACTTTTTATTTAGTTGTGATTATTCAGAAATCTTAATCACTTGGTAGCTTGTATGCATTTTCAACCTTCTTGCTTGCCCGGTTTGACTGGGCAAGTTACCAAAAAATACCCTAATTTCTATAATATACCAAAAATCAGCCTTTCCATAAGCACAGCACTGGCAAACCCTGTATAACTTAATAGCTTTCTAACAAATTCATTGCTTTCTATATAATTATAAAGCTAAATAGATAACAAAGTATGTTTTGGTAGCCTCCTCTTAGCATGAAAACTTTTTTTTATCTTTTTTTCCTAAAACAATTTCTTAACCTTTCTCTTTTTTCCTCCTTTTTATTTTCCTTTTTTTTTGCCTTTTTAAATGAGCTGCTATAGGAATATTACATATCCTTAATAGTCAATCTTTTTTAAGCTTTTCAAAAACTGCCACAATTACTTAGCAATTGTAATTATATATCATCAAAATGGTTCCTAATATGTGTTGGCTGTTAGGGCAGTTTCTTTTCCTACCTGTTGTGTGATCTTGCATTTATCTTTAATCTTCTTGGTGAGTGACAGCTACCATCACAGCCCTGGCTCTCTTTGATATTATCTCTTCCTACATGTCCAAAACATAAGTTCACATGAGCAGAAGTTGATCTTATCAAAGGTAAATCAGAAGTTAAAAAAAAAAAAAGCAGGGAGATAAAAACATCAAAAATACATATCTTGCAAGCAATGATTGTATTTAGGAAAGTGTGATCTGTGGAGATGAAAATCATTCTCCAGTTGAAACTGACCACGTACTTGTACAAGAATAATATGAATTTGAAGTTTGCTTTTAATTTAAATCTATTGCTTGAGCTTCTTAACCCTTAACAGTACAGTCACCAGCAAGCCTGCAAAATAATGTTGGAGTCTTAAAAATCATCAGAAATAAGTCAACCAGTACAAGTTCAGAAAAACTGACTTTATTTTTGTAGTGGGGCCAAGAAAAATACTTAGGTTTTTGTTTAGTTTTGTGCATGTTAGTCTTGATTTTTCTCAGTGTTTTGCATGTTTTGAGTTTTTAATATCAAAGGTAGTGCTCTTTGTAAACAAGTGTAAGTTTACCCAGGCAGCTTCACTTACTCCCTTCCCTTGTAATCAGATGTGAAAATTACACCCTCCCTTTTGGATACATGATAATTACACATTTCAACATGCAAGGAATTGTCTCTGTTTCAGTTGTTGGAATGAAAGAGCCGAGACATTTGGTAAAATATATTATTATATTAAAGATCATTTCCATAATTGTTTTCGGGATTCGTAATCAAAACCAAGATCAAGGTAGAATTAGTTTTAAAAAGAATACACATAGAATTAAGGAGCAGATAAAGTGAATTGCTGAGTTCTACTTGAATGGCCATTCTCTTATTTTAAAAATACAATTGAGAAAAATATAGTTTTTCTTTTAAAAACAACTTTTAGTATCTTATTTGACATTTTCTTTCTCCATGCTTATTAAAATACCTATTTTTCATGTAGACCAAAAAGAGGTAAAAAAAATTACATTTTTGTGAGCAATATGAAAGGCTTAGTCAGAGGAAAGATATAAATACAATAAAAGAATCTTTTCAAGAAAAGGTGTTTTTTGTTGGTGGTGGTGGCTTTTTTTCAAGATTCCTTTTGAATCAATTGAGCCAACTGTAAAAATTTAGTAAACTCATGTGGGGGTACCTCTAATTCACAATCAGATTCCAGGTTCACCTGAAGAGTCCCTTACAGCATTAGGTAAGGGTGTATGTCAGTGAGGGACAAATTAAAGCCTAAAAAACTCAGAGCTTTTGGAAAAATAACACTGACTCAAAAATATGTCTCTCCTCTTTGGGAGGGCTTAATTTATTGATTCCTTTTTACTTTCTTAAGAAGGAAAGGAAAAGAAGAGAGAAGACAGCGCTAGATAACTGATTTTATGGTTTCTTAAAACAGTTTATGTCATAAAGAAATACACTGACTAATTAGTTCTCTAAGTATTTAAGTTTTTCTATTTATCGAAACACTGGCGTAGGTAAGTGAGGCTACATAGTCATATGGTCCAAATCTGTTTCAAAAAAAAGAGTCCTATCAGATATTTTGATTCTGAAAATGCCCAACCCAATTTTCAAATATTTGGAATTAAATGATAAACTCATTAGCACTTACGTATATACACACTTTTCTATTTTAAAATCATTGCATAATCTGACATTTATGTTTAATTTTCCAAAGTATTTCCCCCAGAGAGCATTCGTATATTTTTAGAACTCAGAAGAAACCAGAGAATTCAACTATTCTCACCCATAGGCTTCCCTCACTGGTTGAAATTTTCAGAGTTGGAAGACCAGGATTTGAACCCTGGTTTCCTGACTCCAAGTCAGGGATAGGATGCTGTTTTGAATGTGAATTTTGTTGTTGTTGTTGTTGACAGTTTTCTCCCAAGATCCTGTCTGAGATGGTGTCTTATTTTTAGGTTGAATGATTCTCTGCCCTGAAGTGTCAGGTTACAGTTGTGGTGTATCCAAGAGTGGAATGGGCTAGAATCAGAAAATCCAGTGAGCCCACGTGGTGAGTTACTTGGACGAGGGAACCACGTGTTCTGAACTCAAGATGCTGGTTTCACTGCTTCTATGTGTTTTTAGAAAGGTCGGGCAGTTGCTTTGCAGGTGAGGTGCTTTCATAATTCCTGCGCAGGCTGCGCAGAGAGCTCAGAAAATGTTTCACCTGGTACTGGCATTAGCTTGGCAGGAAGTGGGTTCCCACTGTGGTCCCACTGCGAAGCAAGTAAGTAAAAAGTCTCTCCTCGTGGCCCCCTTGTCAGCTTCTCCCTTCCGCACACGGAGCTTCACGAGCAGCAGCACCAGCAGGCAGGAAGAGTTCTGGGTGGGAAGAGCAAAGAAGGAGCGGTTCCTGATGAGGCCACGTATCTTCTGCTCGGTTGCCTTCCAGCAAGCGGCTTGCTCTGGGGAGCCTGGAGATCACAACCCGGGATAACGAGAAGCGTCCTGGACTTGGTTCAGGACACTCGGGTGTCTCCCTCCGCCTCCCCGCCCTGCCATCCAGTCTCAGCATGGCTGTGGCACGCCCCTCAACCTCTCTGGGCCTCAGGTCCCTCTCTATAAAACGTAGGGATTGGACGGAGGTTGCAAACTGGTGGCTGACAGCTGTGTTTGGTTTGGCTCACAAAGTATTTTAAACACATTTGAATTGGTTGCCAATATTTAAAAATTGGGCAATTTCACTCAAAGGTTCAGATTTCCAGCACCTCTGGAGAACTCAGAAGATATGACATCTCTGTCCCCCACGAATGAGTGCAAAGACCATGAGGGGATTACTCTGGAGCCCCCGTGGAAGGATCAGCCGATCCCTCACCTGCTTGGTCGGCGTGGACATTGGGCGCATGATACTTGCCAAGGCTTCACCCCACCTGGAGTTCTGTAAGCCTAGATGTGATTTGCTTCACTCTAAAATACAATGAATCCTTAGTGGTTTCTACACCTTCAGCAGAATGCTAAGGTATTTGTCTATGCAATAAGTATCATATACAGGTTGGAAATATTTTAGGTCATACAAATCAGCCCCATTTGGAACGAACTTGAAATCGAATGAGGGAAGGCAGGTGTAGCTCAAAAAATGTGGACCTTAAGGCAGTCACAGGAAGGGTCTGGCTTCTGACTATTGTCTACTCAGAAAACTATGTGAGTATTTTATAAATTATCCCCAAATGGATTCTTTGAAACCCAAAGCAAATACTGTAGA